CGCGACTTTTCGTTGCGTAGTTATACCTACTTAGCGGAAACATTTGCGAATGCAATATAGAACACGTTTTTAACAGATTTATTTTTCAATTTTGGCTTCAACCATTGGGTTTATGAGAAGGCGAACCATATCTTTTTTTCAGCGTTCCGTAGTTACCCCCCGTTTACGAAAACCCATAGAGGCTTTAGTTTTCATTAGGAAAATGAGATGATTAGCCCTGTTCTCCGTCCAGCTCTTGGAAAAATGTTGGCGTACCGTACATGGAACCCGCTTATTATTTGAATTAAACAACAGTTTCAATAAAATATAATGATATGATATATAAAATCGACGTATCATACATATAAATAAAATAATTATCTGGGTTTACAATGAAACGTAGATCTTGAATCTAATAAAGTTAATGTCAATAAATATTATGGACACCTTTTACAAGCACTACAATCAAATATAGAAATTCAATAGTAATAAATCAGGGTCAAATCAAGTTAATGTCAATAATTATAATGAACAGATTCTACAATCAAACAGTTATATGTAATTGATCACTATTATGTGGGCATGTACAGTATATTTTCCACACTGTTAATATGTGGGGGGATGGATGGCTGAATGGTTAGCGTGCGCGCGTTGTATCATAAAGTCTGTCATTGAGTCGACTGGCGTGGATTCGAATCCCCGGTTGTAAGTGGCAAGGAGTAGGATCGCCTGTCCAACCTCGTGGGTTTTCTCCGGGTCCTCCGGTTTCCTCCCACTGCTAAAGACCCCTACGCGCAAGCGAATTATTGAAATAACATTAAACCATATGTTAGTCCCGAAATGACCTAGTTTGTGTCGAGTGGACGTTAAACCCCATTTCTCTCTCTCTCTCTGTTAATATGTAAACCTGAGCGGTCAGGAAATATCACATACGAATATTCGAAAGGACGAACATGTGTTATTGTTTTAGAAAATGTCGACATCACAAATAAAGTGAAAAAGAGAAATGAGGTTTAACGTCCACGCGACGCAAACAAGGTCATGTCGGGACTAAGATGGTTCAATTTTATGTCAATAAATCGCTTGCGCGTAGGGGTTTTTAGCAGTGGGAAGAAACCGGAGGACCCGGGTAAAACCCACGAGGCTGGACAGGTGACCCTACTCCTTGCCATGTACAACAGGGGAATCAAAACCACGCCAATTGACTCAATGACAAACCTTATAATACAACACACACGCGCTAACCATTTGGCCATCCACCCGGTCTGCGCAGAAACGTATGATGTTAAATTCGTTCATTTCACCACAACAACTGTGCTCTATTATTTATTCACACAATGCCCCCCCCCACCACCACCACCCCCACCCCACCCCCAACACACACACACCTTCTTTAAGCACGTGAGTTTTTCGTGTGTTTATTCAAAGTACAGATCATTTGTACTTCAGCTTTACTGGTTCTTAAAGGGTTATGTTTGCTTAAAAATGATCAACGTGACACATTAGATGTGACCCATAGGTTGTACCTCAGATATGAACATGAATACGGACAGATTTCAGATACATGTAAACATAGGTAAAGTTGATAGCGTTCAGTTATACACCCTTCACACATACACAACGTCCTCACTATTATTCCTCCCACTGCTAAAGACCCCTACGCGCAAGCGAATTATGTAATTAAAATAAAAACAACATGTTAGTCCCGAAATGACCTAGTTTGTGCCGAGTGGACGTTAAACTCCATTTCTCTCTCTCTCTCCCTCACTATTATACGACTTTAAAAATCGCCAAATCCTGGCTGAGAGCGGCATGAGCGTGTCTATATTTTCAATTCCGTACATAGATTTTAAATCCTGCATAAACCATTTTATATATTGCCGTTGACAAGGGGTGCAAGATCTTGAAGGCACAAACAAACTTGTATCACAATAAGCCTCTCCTTATACATTGGCCCCTTTCGTATAGGTTCAACGGAAGGGATGAAGTTGTTTTGTGTCGTTCGAGAATAGATCACATGTTCACCTTGAAACGAGAGCTAACGGACCTTTTAGGTCGCAGCGAAGTTGTCGTCCAGCGTGGCGCGGTCTTATAGAATGTGGAGACAACGTGATTTAGCGCGGTGTGGGCAGCGATGACGAATCGTGCGTGGGGTAAGCGTAGAGAGAACGTGGAAAAGGGTGAAAATTTCCACGATTTTGAGCGTACCGAGAGCCTAGTTGAGGGTGTATTCCGCATTTCACCGCGACCTCATCACGTTGTATACGCGTAGCAAGGGCGTGGCGAGGTCTTCTTTTTGTGTGTGTGGAGGGGGTGGGTGGGTTAATGAAGATATCCAACAGTCGTTATACTATATGCGTAATAATTACTATTTAAAATGGTTAGTAATTAGACGGTAGTCAATAAGTAGGTGTTTTGTCTTTATCAATGTTAGTATTAAAGATGGGTTCCCAGAAAAGTATTTATCGGGTGGTTATTTCCAATAAAAGTATGGTGATTTTGGTATATATGGAAAGTAGAGATATCCAATCTTACTAGAAAAATTCTGGATTTCCCGAAAAACACTCATGGAGCGTATACAGGACAAAAATGTAAGGGTTCGCCTAATCGACAGCCCGAGGATTAGGTATTTCTGCACGCGTGATGTCAACGGTCACACGCGAACATTGAGCGCTTGATGTACAAGTTGATAAACTTTATGAAGAGTTAGACGTACAACACTATCTGAGAAAAAAATGACGGAAAAAGACGCGGGTAATAGATAATCCGAGAATTTAGTTAGGATTCGATATTTGAAATAAATAGTAAGTGATTAAAGACAACATCGTCTTATGTAGGCAATGAATTCTCCTCTGACTTCCAAGAGAGGTAAGTCACGTGACGTAAACATGACCTGGTTTGATCGAATTTTTATAGCAGGGCATTCCTTCGCAATTACAATGTTTGAGAAGGATTTGAAGCAAAATTATGACAAATTAATTAGTTTGAATATGTTTTTAGTCCATATAAACCATTAAATCACCCAGTTTGTACGCGGGAATGTATCTTTAAGTGTGTATATCCAATACTGATGGTTTTTAGAGGCAAATGGACTTGAGAAACAATAACCCTACACTAAGCTATTTTGACAAAATTAGATTTCCATTCTGCAAAAGTTTATTAAACGTTCTAAAATACATCATTATGCGTTTTATCGAAACGTCTAGTAACCGTTCATATATGATATATGAGTAATGCAAGTTTGAAACAAAATACACCTTGGATAGTGTTTTTAGTAAAAATTTGTTTCCAATGAAACACTAAGATTATTACCTTAAGAATTATGTACTCGAGTTCCGGTTACTTAATAATATGTGTAAAAACCACTCTAAGCAATTCTACCGGTGTCTGTGATTCTCAAAAAACGGCGAAAGCCAAAAAATAGGGATAACGCGACGTGATGATCGAGATTCCGTTATTTCCTGCGTATTTTTGATTCTGTAAAAATTAGAACTACCGGAAAATTCACAACGACACGAAGAAATGTTACAGGCTGATAATACAAGAAAGCGTCGGTTTTAAATGCCATTTACAACATGTCTTCTATTCACTTAAAGTTACAATTTCATATTTTTAAGTTATATTTTTAAAATGTATGAAAATAATGCCCTAAAATAGATGGTATGTATAAACAGCCCTACCTTATTAAAGAATAATCCTATAATTCACTATTACCAGTTGAGAAATTGGCAAAAATATCATTTTCAACTTCAAAATCAAACGTTCGAAGATAGCTATTCCATGGTGTGGAATAGGAAAACAAGGGAGGTAATTGTGTTATTATTTCCGGTGTGAAGATTTTTAAGTGTGAGAAAGATAACCTATGATCGTATAATAGTGAGTTGACAACCTATTCAGCAAAAGACATAGAAATAATTATGTTTTGACTTTCTTAGAAAATATGAAATTGTAACTTTAAACGAGGGAAATAAGGGAATCCTGATGCTCCAGTTGCATTATCACTGATTTTGGGCGTTCCCCGTTTTGGGAAAATTACAGACACTGCAATTATATCAGCAACATTATGTGTACTAAAAGAATACATAATTTCACCACCAAAGACGATCGTGTTAACATAATCCATGCCCTTGATTATAGTGGACATAAATTTAGTTGAATTACAACCACCATTGTTTCGTATGACTGAAAACAGCTCTTGATATATGAGTAATGCAAGTTTGAAAGAAAATTTCCTTGAGGTTTCTTGATCTTGGGATGGCTTCTGCGTAAAATGTGTTTCCAATGAAACGCTAAGAATATTATTACATTAAGAATTTTCAAATTAGCAAAAGGCATAACTACCCGAACAGGTTGATGTGTATACACATTTTCATTAACCTACCTTGAATGGTTGGTTTATTAGATGCCTGTATGTTTCTGAATAAAATTGTATACCACAAACTAAATCAATAATTTTGTTTGATTGACAGCACGTAAATATTTTACACCCGATAAGTTTCTAATTGGCAACAGGCAACTGCTCTAAAAAGGTTGACTGCCTATGCACACAGTTTCATATCAGATATCTTGAATAGTTAATGAGATATGCTCCCGAATAAGAATTGTATACTAAATTTTGTTTCAATGGAAAAACAAATAATTTGTAACCGGTGAAATATTTAATCAGAAAAGGATACAACTACTATAAAATGTTGTAATGTGTACAAAGTGTCATAAAGATATTTTGAATGGATGAGGTATATTTAAGAATAATAATTGTATGTCAAAACTATATTTACATCCTGAGAAATTCCTGAAAAGCAAAATAGATGTTATGTATACAAAGTTTCAAAAAGATATCTTCAACGGTTTATGAAAATGCGGCGCCGGATAATAAAAGTACCCCTCATAAGTTTACGACATGCTTGTATATTCTTAATTTAAATTTTGACGTCATGTTATTATGAGTGCCCTGGTTGGTTGGTTCGTGTTGTAACATATGTACATTAGGGTCGGTGCAATCCTTTCAGCAGAAGTATACCTGTAGCGTGTTCCATTAATTGTACACTCATACAGTGATCCAAGGATGTGTCACAAATCTATTTCTATGTGAATGATTCGAACTATAGTGTATCCATCTGGAGTTACTCTTTGTAAGTACTGCTCAAATTGCGGTTGTGTCGTTTATCAGGTAACAAATTACATGTAAACAATAGGTTAAAATGTCAGCTACTTTATCCCGATCATTTCTATATTTTCATAAGGGAGCGGCGATGGGTCCCGGCTAAATTTCTCTCATAATGCACTGTATGGCGTATTTCCGTCTTAATTTTTCTCATAATGCACTGTATGGCGTATTTCCGTCCCCATTTCTCTCATAATGCACTGTAGGGCGCATATCCGTCTTAATTTCCCATTTCATTTCCTTTATATTTTAGACTGTCTATGTAAATCGGTCATTTCTTCACATTTTGATTTACATACTTTTAAGTATTTAAAAATTCGAATTCTTGAACAGCTATCCTGCATTCATTTTTTAAAAAAAATAAAATTTCAATTTCTAATCAATTATGTTCGATGAGATACGTGAACAGTCCAAATTGGACAGTTCCCCCTTTGCAGAAAAACTTGTCAACACGATAGAGGGTGTAGATTTTAATGGATTATTTTCATTGGTAGGAAACATTAGATTCACGAGAGGATGAATCCTATTGATTTTCAGCGTTTCTTTACGAAATTATCCTCCTCTCCTGAAAACATTATGAACGCAATAGACGCTATAGATTTTATATAGATAAGATTTCTTCAAGGAGACTAGTAGTAGTATCTTATCAATTTTTAACATCCAAGTTTTCCTTTGCAGTTGAGGGACAGCTGCTGTGTGTGCGTATTCCACGATCTGCGTTGCTATCTTTATTCTTTCTTCTAACTTGATGATAGACTCTCCTGAACCCGTCTCCGTGTTGCATGTGTTCGTACTGTAGTATTTAAAAAAAATACTAAACCTATTTATTGGTACCCTTAATGCGTATTTTATTCAAATATATATTGCTTCCCTTAATGCGTACATTTTGTGTATATTATTTTGAATATTTTACTTATGTTTTAACATAACTGTCTCATAATCATGTATATATTTTGACGGATAAACCTGTAAATTTAAACACTCGTCTTTAATTCTAGACCAAACAGTCGACAAAGCGTACAACATACGGCCACACAACACCTATGACTCAGAAAAAGCCATAGACAAACATATACAGATAGAAAGAAATCTGATCTTATCGTGTTCATAAGCCTTCGTGAGTCATATATTTCTGAACAAAAATACAAAATTCTGAAATTTGGCCGGGTTCATCGATATCCTCCCTGATCTCAATTGCTCACAATATATTTGAAAATAAAAAGGGTTCATCCTCTCACAGGGCTAATGTCTCGCACTAGTTTTGAAAAAAAGGAAACATTAAAAACTGTAGCATCTCTTACGTTCACAGAGTTTTCGTTCGGAAAAGAGGAATGGTACTCTGGAACGTATGGTCGCATAAATATTTAAAATCGACAGGGTTTGGCCTCTCATAACATCTATCGCGCTATCAATGTTTTGGCAAACGGGGAATAACCCCATAACGTTGGTCGCATAACGCTGTATATCGACAGGGTTCGTTCATTCATGACAAAAATGATTCACACCAGTTTAGAAAATGATTCGTCAAACGCTAAATCATCTATCGCGTCCACTCATGACCGAAATGATTCACACCAATTTAAAAAAAGATTTGTTAAACACTAAATCATTTATCGCGTTAACGAGTCAATTGTTAACGAATCCACGGACATGTTCGACGATACAATACGCCCACATTCACAAGTGGACGTATATAAACGCCATGGAAAGGGGGTGGCGCCTATAAATAGACGCAGTACATTCGTATATCATGAAATCTGGGTAAACAGTTATTAGCCTTGATCCTTTTACATGTATTTGACTCGAATAAGATTCATCCTATGACTATTCAAATGAAATCAGATCCACGTTTAAAACGTTTGTTCCTTTTTGAATTAAAATAGAAAGCCATACAAAGCGTGGAAAAGACCCACACATCAGCTATATCTCAACAACAGCTTAATAAGGATCCTGTATCCTTCAAGAAATATTATCTGTATTGTGTTCACACAATATTATATGCTCCTAACAGATAATCCTTAATAGAATTAATTCAACAGGCTTTATTCTTTCTGATTCCAGTTCTGCAACAGGGTTAATATGTGGGTGTATAACAAAATCAGATTTTTGTTTACAAGATTTCGAAGATAAGGGCATTACTTCTGCAGATAATTGTTGCTCGGCTCTGCTGAATAAGTGAATAATTCTATCAAGTTTTGTTTGCTCGTCTGCCCCTGCCCCACCACCCTTGTCAGTGATGTAAGACGGGAGAAGGGGCAACGTATAGTCGTTTAGATGGGACAAAAAATGGAGGTCCCGTGTACACATTAGCGTGCACGTAAAAGATCCCTTGACAGTTGAAATTCGAAAAAAAGGAGACCGTAGCGCCGCTGTCCGGGCAACATACCCCTCATGGTGTAGTACGTTAAACCCCATTTCATTTCATTTGTTTTTTTTAATGCATCGCGTCCTTTCACTGTTTCCATCAAATCTCTTCCTCGATTGCTTTTGTTGTCTATGAGACTGTTCACGATTAAAGTTTCATGGCCTTACTGTGTGTTTAAAAATCCAAGGTTACTCGAAATGTATACTCTACATGTATAGTAAATAATGACATCGCATAATACTTGTCATTCTGAGAACCTTAACAATAAGCTCCAATGCAATTTCTTTTTTCATTGACCTAACAATGTCTTTACGTCTGAATCCATGTTTACCCACCTTCCTGGACCCTGTTCGTGCCGACAAACCCGTTCAACCCAATTTCATTTTTTTTAAACAGATATTGGGTTGCAATAAATGACACACGGCACACACCCTTGTTGACCTAAAAATGTAGTGTTGACTTTTCGTGTTTAATTTGAGGGTTAAATTGCACACTTAAACCACACACATATATATATTATATATATATATATATAAAAATTAGATAAATACACGCTAAACTGGATAATCGAGACTATGTTTTCTTATCGTACCGATGATAGAGGCTAGGCCGAAATTTCAATCACTTAATTCTCGGTTCATAGTGGATCAATTTGACTGAAATTTTCAGCAAATTGCCTTTACATTATCTAGTTTTTAATTATTGTAGTGGGAACGGCTATCACAGTTAATGCTTTGAATCAGTGAAATTGACTCAAATTGAAGCCCTTTTAATTTATAACAAAAATTGGCGTCAAACGGGGTGTTGGATTTCTTTCTTTATAAATCTCAGTCTGTATGTATGCCTACGTAATATCGCGACGATGATGGCAACATGCATTGTCGACTGTCAAATGTCCTTAACAGAAACGCGAACTGAATATGGAAATAGATTTATGAATAATCGCTAATTCTGCATATTGCAGGTCTTTCTTTAGGCCTTCAATTTTATATAAATTATTAATTAGACACAAATTTATTAATTTACCAAGACTATATTCAACCCTCAATGTCATCGGATGGTCTAGATTTTCAACGGATTTACACACGATTGGCGGTTAATGATTTAATTTAAAAAATGGGTGCCAGAGCTTTGGACTGCGGATAGGAAACGTGCCAGATTCTTAACGTCCCTTGAAAATCTTCGTAGTTTTGAAGCAGATCCTGATAATGTTTTGGCCCCTTCAGACATACACCTGTTTCGAAAAATGAAAAAAAAAGAACTAGCCGGTCATTTCCTATTTCCTAGTAATGATGACGGCATGTCAGCCGTGAACGACTCTTTAACGTCGAACTTGATGGCAGCAACCGGGCGAAATGAATGTGTCAAAAATTGCAAGAAAAAAAATATATTAAAGGGACATTAAGTACGATAAGATAAACAGCCGACAGTGCTCGCTATAAAAGTTAAAGAACGCCGATATAACGTAGAGTTTGGTGATAAGAGCATTATAATTGTTTATTACTCGATTATGAAGTATATAAAGCAGATTACTCAGACAATATATTTCTTTTCGGGTTTGAAAAGTTCAACTTCCAGCGGCAACACCAAGCTAAATAATTGCTGCAAATCATAAACAAATAAGGGTTTCAAAAGAACAAGCATCAGCACAATAACCATTGCCCGAGTACTAGTGCGCACTACAGGTCAGACCATTTGAGGTTCAGTTTCACACTTGCTGGGATTGTTTGAAAAGTTCTATAGAGGAACTCTACCAATATAATCGCTAGAACATCACTCTTCATGGGGGGGGGGGGCTTATATTCATTATCTGAAAGCACTATAATTTATGTTATAGGTGTTTTAATTGGTGTGAAGACAGCCGTTTGTTTGGTGAACGAACAACTAACATGTATCTTACACGACGAAAGGTGTTCGGACTTTATGGCATGTAAGTTAAAGAGACATTGTCTCTTTGAACAAGAAAAAAAAGAAAAGATAGTATGTACCTTAAACCAAATAAACTGCCCTCTCCTTGACAATCGCTGAAGGACAACCTCATGAAATAGACTCCATAGAGAGCGAGAAAGACAGAAAAGGGGTTATTTCAATAATTCGAATTAGCAGTTGGAGAAAACCGGAATATCCAGAGAAACACACAAGGCTCGACAGACGACCCTACATTTTGTCACGTACAAACGGAGAATCGAAACCATGCCGCTTGACTTTATGATACACCGCGAACACGTTAATAAAGAGGCCTGGTTATTTTTAAATTGACCAACCTAAGAGTTGAAAATATACTTTAGATCGTAATTTAGACGATTATATGAAAATACTCAATCTGTTTCACAGAGGTATTGCATCACATCATTGGCTCGAGGGCGCGTTAACCGTTTACAAAATACTATCTTGGACTGGATGTTCATGAATAGATATGAATTACCTTTCAGGTGTTTAATAACACCGCATGGTCTAAAATTATGCCTTTTGGTCTGCTCTATGGGGATGCTCGGTTGTCAGTCCGGAACGTCCCGAATTGACACAATTGCAATCAAGTGACACGGAATTCGACCCAGTCACAGATTTGCCAGTACCGGCAACTGAGGTGCTGTGAGTAGAATCGTGACGTATTTTAAGTAATAAATATGTTTCATTTGTCATGATTGGTTAAGACATTTTTTTATGCATTCGGTTGACACTATTTTTGGAATTGAGAGAATTTGATTCGGAACGTTCAATGGAGTATCCCCTATGAATGTTAGCGACAGTACTAGTACTTACTGTACAATATCATATCATTATAACTATATTTAACTTAATTGTTATTCTGGCTATTCTTAACAATTCAGAAAATTGATTTAGCCTTCTTTTTCTTGCAGACTGGCCCTTTTTGCTGTAGTCATCACACTGATGATAGGTGGTTACAACTTCAATAAACCTGGATCCACCAATCGAACATCGACAACGAAACCCACGCAGTGTACTAAGAGAACCAACATTGCGTTTTTAAAGGTGCACAAATGTGGGAGCACCACAATGTCAAACATATTACATAGATTTGCACTGAGATACAATCTTAATGTTGTTCTTCCGGATAAAAACGGAACAAGATTCTGGGTTCTTGGTTTACTGGATAAAGACACACACAAGAAGATTATCCCTGTGGCAAAAGGAGAAGAGTATAATATACTGGCTGTGGATACTTATTATAATAAACATATATATGAACAACTTATTCCCAATCATCCATTTTTCTTGGCTATATTTCGGGAACCTGTCGAACGTTATATTTCTTATCTGTTCTACCACAAGAATACACGTGAAACTTTAATCCAAAAAATGAAAACCAACCCATATATTTTCCATGGTTATACCGGTGGAGCACCGCCCATCCTGAACGATTTCAGTTTTTATGTACAAAACTTAAGTCTGATCAGATTTACAGAGCGAATGGACAACGAATTCGATATGATCATGGTGACTGAGTATTTTGACCAATCGTTGATTTTGTTAAAACGGAAGTTGTGTTGGACTTTGCGGGACATTATATATATTACAAGTAATAAGAATTTAAAGAATTCAGGATATGCTATGAGTCCGGTCGACAGACAAAACATTATTAATCATTTTAAAAATGATTCGATATTTTACGAACATTTTAAGAGTAAATTGTTTAAAGAATTGAGTAAACTTGGTGCCGGATTTTTAGAAGAATTACACCAATTTAAAATGATTCTTAAACTTGTTAAAGATTATTGTACATTTGTTAAGAAGGGAGATACGTCTCTTGTTATTCCTAAATCCTCGTGGAACCAACGTTTTATTGTAGATCCTTATGAATGTTTTATTATGCAATTGACAGAATTTCCCCTTGTTCAGATATTACAGAAACGTCAGCATAAATTATACTACGAACGTTCAAAACCATAGTATATGTCATTTTGTTTATTACATGCAGTTCACGTACCTATTGCACTTGTGGGCATCGACTTAGGTCACCTAAGTTTGCCTGTCTTCGCACTCCGACCTGTCCTCACATTGAACAATATAAACGCTATTGTTTTTTAATTTATTTTGCGTGTCCGGGTCAGGGGTCGGTTGTTCAAAGCTCCGTTAACTAGATGGAGTCAACGGGTGACTTTAACGAAGAGAACGTCTGTAACATCTCCTCAAGAAAGGTGTTGAGCCCCGTTATCGGTTTAACGATGCCATTAGTCGGCTGTCAGTTAGCAAAAGTCCTATTAGGGAGGGGCGGGACTATCCCATTTTCTATACTATAATATTCTAAAGAATTTTGGGGGTCTGCGGGTAATAACGGCCCCAAATATTCCACAATTTCTGTAGTGTATAACCTATGTTTTTTACTACAGTTTTATGGTTAAAAAATTTATAGGAAAATATAAAGTATTCTAAAGATTTTTATAGGGTTTTTCTGTAGGAAATTCTACAGTTATAATTTTGTTTTTAACCAGGTTTTGTGAACAAACTGCACATTTGTCCCACTTTTTTTAGTTTCTTGTCAGTAGGAACTTTTAAGATATTGTTATACATGTACATTGTATTTATAATTTAAAATTTCATTCAATGACCTAACAATCTTCTGTTGAATTAACTTTAAATCAGTCCGTTAGCTAATATATTTGTGCGTGTCATGTTTAGGGCTCGTTTTTTCAAAGCTCCATGGAGTTAATGGGTAACTTTAACGATGAGAACGTCTTTAACATGTCGTCAACAAAGGTGTTGAGAGAGAGAAATGAGGTTTAACGTCCACTGGACACAGACTAGGTCATTTCGGGCCTAACATAAGGTTTAATTTTATTTCAATAATTCGCTTGCGCGTAGGGGTCTTTAGCAGTGGGAGGAAACCAGATGACCCAGAGAAAACCCACGAGGTTGGACAGGCAACCCTACTCCTTGTCACGTACAACCGGGAATTCGAAACCACGCCAGTTGAATCAATGACAGGCTTATGGTACAGCGCACGCACGTGCTAATCATTCGGTCATCCAACCCCCAAAGGTGTTGAGCCCCGTTATCGGTTTAACGATGGCATTAATCGGCTGTCAGTTGGAGTATACCCTTAGCAAAAGTCCTATTAGGGAGGGGCGGGGCTATCCCATTTTCTATAGGAAAGTATTCTAAAGACTTTTGGGGGTCTACAGGCTATAACAGTTTCTGTACTGTAAAACCTAAAAACATTATAGGAAAATACAAAAGTATTCTAAAGATTTTTATAGTGTTTTCTGTAGGAAATTCTACAGATATATGTTTGTCTTTAACAAGGTTTTGTGAACAAACTGCACATTTGTTCCACTTTCTTTAGTTTCTTGTCTATAGTAACTTTTACGAAATTGTTATACATGTACATTGAATTTAAAAATTAAAATTTCAGTCAATGACCTAACAATCTTCTCTTGGATTAACTTTAATCAGCCCGTTAGCTAACAAATAATTAAATTGGCTTTCCAGCAACAAAATTTTAATGGGACAGCTGACAAAGTACGTTAGCAAGCTAACTATCAATTCGAGTTTAACCACAATGTTAAAATAATTGAGTTTTGAACAACCGACCTCTGGGCAAAATCAGGCAATTCGCACTTGATGTAATTTATATCAGTTGAACTATGTTGAGCGACCATTAATAACTATAATAACAACACATGACAAAATTATATTTATCTGGAATACAAGTTACTTTAGAGGTTAATTTCTGGCGATGTTTCGACCAAGGTTAGTCCGTTTTTACGATAAGGCGTGGGGGGGGGGGGGCACTGTGGCTAAGTGAGTAAGAACCTGGGTTTGCTTTCGCTGTTGGCCAAGGAAGTTCATCGGTATTTTATGTCGTGGTCTCCCCTTGTCAGTTGTGCAGAGGGTCTAACAAGCACAGTTGTCTAGTCGCTCGATCGGTTTGGACGAAAGTCCGAGGTCCGGTGTACACCGGGGGGGGGGGAGGCACTGTGGCTAAGTGAGTAAGACCCTGGGTTTGCTTTCGGTGTTGGCCAAGGAAGTTCATCGGTATTTTCTGTCGTGGTTTCCCCTTGTCAGTTGTGCAGAGGGTCTAAAAAGGACATTTGTCTAGTCGCTCGCTCAGATTGGACGAAAATCCGAGGTCCGGTGTACACATTGTGTGCGTAAAACGTCCCCTGCAAAATGGAATTCGATATAAGAGTAGACCGCAGCGCCGCTGTCTGGGCAAAATTTATCTCATAGCACATTGTATGAAGTATGGCCATCTTCATTATCCCAGTCGGAGCAGAACAGTAGGACGTTAAACATCATTTCATATCATTTTACGATAAAGACGAGATCTCCCTTGTAGACGAGAGAATCGTCGTTAGAAATAAACTTGTATTCCATAACATAACTTGTATTCCATATACATGTGCGATTAAATTTGAAATCGACACAAAAACTATTTGTTTTATAAATTGTTTGGATAATTTGGGGGCAAGGTATCCGCCATTTCGTCATCGAAATTTATAATAGATTTAGATTTTTCCACCATTAATTTATTTGTAATAATTTTATCAAAATTATGTTCAGCTTGTTAAAATTTATGGCGTTATTGCTTCATTTCGTAGTTTTCTAAATAAAGGCCAGTGCTTATTGTTGTTATCTTCCGCCTTTCAAAAAATGCTGGGTACGATGAATTTGGAAAAATAATTTTTGGTGAAATGTTTTGAAAGATTCTTATTTGGAGATTTATGTTTAAATTTTAAGAAACTATAATTTACAAATCTGACATGACAATTAATTTTAGTGTACATTTATCGTAATACGAAAACAAAAGAAGGAATAAGAATTAAGAACTGTGAACTGGTAGCTGTTTCTTCGTCCACAGGATTAAGCCCAGATAAATTTGATGTTTAGCAAAAAATGAAAAGACGCATATGCGTTACTTTAATTTCTTTTGTTTATTATAGATTTTATTAAAAATGGCGATACACCATAACGTTGCAGGGGGTGGGGTGGCCGAATGGTTAGCACGTGTGCGTTGTATCGTAAGATCTGTCATTGAGTCAACTGGCGTGGTTTCGATTCCCCGGTTGTACGTGACAAGGAGTAGGGTCGCCTGTCAAACCTCATGGGTTTTCTCCGGGTCCTCTGGTTTCCTCCCTCTGCTAAAGTCCGCACGCCAGCGAATTATTGAAATAAAATTGAACCATATGATAGTCACGAAATGACCTTGTTTGTGTCGAGTGGACGTTAAACCACCTTCACTCGACACAAACGAGAAAACCCACGAGGTTGAACAAGCGCCCCTACTCCTTGTCACTTACAACCGGGGCTTGTGTAAATAATTTTATCGCCTCTTGTGTCACCAATAAATTCTCATCTTACCTTATGATTCTTCCTCATTGCACAAAAAACTCATTCACTTATCTTTGCCATTTTAGAACTGGATGCCATTAATATTTTTTAGGACAGTATAATAGAACAAGGATGTTTCGCGTTTATATTGGTCAATTATCATACATTTTATCTAACCATATATCTGCCATCTGTCATATTTTGATATGTTAAAAAGCTAACAAGCGGTTGCCATGCCAAGATACGCCCATATTTTTCTTACAATTAGCGGCCATTATCCAGGAAGTTGCGACCCAATATGCGCGAATATCGAGAGGAACCTAGATCCGGGGGATATAAACACATATTTTAAGTTTCATCAAAATCGAATAAAACTTGTGACCTCTAGAGGTATTACATACTTTTACACTTTTGTCGTCATTTTTTTTTTTTTTTGGGGGGGGGGGGGGTGTTGGATGGCTGAATGGTTAGCGTGCGCGCTGTATCATAAAGTCTGTCATTGAGTCGACTGGCGTGGTTTCGAATCCCCGGTTGTACGTGACAAGGAGTAGGGTCGCCTGTCCAACCTCGTGGGTTTTCTCCAGTTTCCTTTCACTACAAAAGACCCCTACGCGCAAGCGAATTATGTAAATAAAATTAAACCATATGTTAGTCCCGAAATGACCTGGTTTGTGTCGAGTGGACGTTAAACCCCATTTTTCTCTCTCTGTGTCGTCATTTGGGCGTATATAAAGCAATATACATTACGCTAGTGAACACATGCAGTACATAATTGACACAGAACATGCTATGTATGCGTATAAAAAGCAATATACATTACGCTAGTCAACATATTATGCAGTACATAAAGGACAGATAACATGCTATGTTTTGTTCATTATATATTATTAGATCTATAGCCAAATTGTCTACCCCCGTGAAGTGATCGCTCGGAACTTCCAAGTTAGGTGGTCATATGATAGGGTGATTCACAGCCTCAAATACTTGTGCTTTAATTATTACCCTGTTGTTTAGCCGTTTCTGCTCTAATCACAACAGTGAATGAGAAAAGTTCAGTCACGGGTTTACTCGTGCAGTGCGGGCAGCAAACATTCACCCAAAATTGACATTCACGTGACAATATTTATTCACTTATATGTCGATGAAGCCATGAAAAAATATTATTTTTTACTCGTTACTCTTTTAAACATACGTAGTTACGAACTTGATTAAAACGTTGGCTAAAACTCGGTGATTTTATTTCTAATTTAGTTGATTGTAACGTATGACGTATGTATTGTAACGGTTGTCGGTTCAGAGTCACCTCGTGTAGTTTCGTTCTTTTTCTATCTTTTAAACAGTATTGTAAACAGTTGATAAATTTGCGCATGTGTACAGATGTTGAAAATTCAATCGTCTCAAAGAGTGTATTCCGTTACTTTCCGGCAAGAAAATAAACGATGTTTCCCGGACGTAGGTCTAAATTTTAATGTGACCAAGATCCATAACTCGTTTTGTCACTAAGAGTTAACTGCCTTGATAATGGGCCCTGGTCATATTTTGAACAAATTTTTAAAAATGCCAAAATGGTTATATCCTCAAAAATCAAACGTGGCCAGACTTCGATTGTTGATGAATTATGTTTTTATGGTAAATCCTAATCATATAATGCCTATCTTTTAATATCTTCTCATTGGTTTCAGCAAATATGGATTAAATAACATATTTGAAAATATCGAGGAAAGATACTTGTACAATATGGCAGTGTAGAGATCTGAGTTTTGAATTTTGCTTATATTTTCATATTGCTTTATT